AGAAACATTTCTTACTAATAACAATATTAAAAACATGATGAAACTTTTCATGATCCTTTGATGAATAGAAAGTTCAGAATAACAGCATTTATTTGAAAATCATTTCACTGTAACATCATAAATGTCTCAATTAAGATTCAAAAGATTTGGAAAGAACAGGATTTCTTAAATGTGTGGCATGCAAACCGCAAATGAAGTCATGGGACCTTTACTTCACATTTTTAGACTCAACCCTCATTTCCTGAAATGAAGAAACTGACATGCAAACTGACATCATCTGTTCAAAAACAGCTGTGCATCCACCTCATGTTAACGCCTTATCACTCAGATCACAGGTGTCATGGGCTCAAACACGCCAAACAGGTGCAACGGGACAAAAACTTCGCCTTCAGGGCGATACTATTAGACCGAAATAAGAATAACCCAACACCACTTCAAACGGATGTAATCTAAGGTGAAATTAAATAAAGGCTCGAGACATATAGTCTGCTGCTCGCATCTAAACTCAGAAGACACAACCATCTGACAGATGGCACTGGCGACCACATCAATGGGATGCATTATTCACAAGTGACTTTTGCCAAAGCTTCAATGTCCGTCCAGTTGCGGACCGCCGACTCTGCCATCTCATATGTTGTCTCATATGGACTCCCAGTGTAGGGTAATGGGATTACCAGCCATTGATTTGACTGACACTGGCTGATGGCCACTGGAGATTCAGGTTTAGACCACGGCACATGGGAGAAAGACAGACAATGCAAGCTCTAAAATGCTGCCCCACCCCTCCTGGGACCGATATCTGACAGGGAAACGCTGCGTGTGTGTGTGTGTGTGATGAAATACCTGCTGTGTTGCCATACACCGTGACAGTTTCACTACAGCAGCGCTACTGACAGCAAAGAGTGGCTTGGGCAAATCAGGTAAGATTTGAAATTCATTGCCTTAAGACAGTTTATGTCAAAACAATACAAGCCTAAATGCTACACGTCCGAGTGCTACTTTAATTCAACTAAAAAAAAAGTGGATTTCTATGTTGCTGCAGATTGTAATTTTGCAAAAGGGTGATATTTTGAAATAAAATGTTAAAATGTCTGAGAGTTATTAGTTTAAACTTGAGATTTATTTGCATTCAGTAAGGACAGGTGGTGGACAACGCATAAAGAAAATGCCGTAAGATGTTATAAAACAATATTTAGTCATGTTTGACTCACATTTTCATCATTCTTGTAGGTGGAGGTTTGTGTGTACATGTTGACAAACTAGTTGTTTGTTTTATCAGATCATTTTTACACACTTTTGTCAGCAAAGCAGAGAATTGAAAATATTCCAGGGATTTCCAGCCTATGGCTAAACTTGTCCACATGCACAAAGGCTTCAGCTCTTTACTGCTTGCTCTGCACTGCTTGTGTGTCCACAATAATGCATCATTGTTTAAGTGATGCTGAGTTTGACTGGCTAGACTAAGTTAGCTGGTATACGTCTGTTTTGTAATGATACTATGGTACTAACACAATGGACATGCGCCACAGTAATACTGTACCACGGTTTCTGGACACGTACTAAGGTATTTTCTAAGTTGG